TTTAAAATAGTGGTGCTCTCCTTGACTATAACTACATAATTATATTTCCAACAAAATCATGTTGTTACAGCATTTTGTTTACAGTTCAAGCTTCATATCCAATGTTGAATCAAAGTTATTTACAAGATTGTGCCTTATTGGCTACCTAATCCTGACATCTAACGATCAGACCAATCAGAGAGCAGCTTGTTCAGTAACTAGCAATAAGAGGACTAAAACAAACTCAGGCCTGTTTTAAGCATGATGGAAATACCATACTTGGTCAAAGAAATTGCAAGCTTGATGTTTTATGAAACAATTAGAGTTGTTGATATGTTAATTTTGCTATTGTTACAAAATACATATTTAAATTAGAGTAGATTTTTATGCAAAATAACCACAGTATTTGGGTATAAACATAAGAAGATGGCTGTTTCTATTATTTTATGTATTATTGACTTTAATTTTGCAGAATATGCAAACTGATCAGATATCTCAAACTTCATTGTCAAAACATTAACCTTTTGGGTGAAATAACAATCGAAATTTAGGCTGACATTTTTGCAAACTTTTATGTATTTTTCTCTCACTTAATTTTAGACCTTATAGACAGAATTTCCTATTGGCTGAATCAAAATTTCGAGGGGGGGGGGAAATATGAAAAACAAATAAGTGAATTTTATTTTCGTAAAGGTAACAAAAGTCGACTTTGATGCTTAATTAATGATAACACCTCTCTAAAAAACAAAATACAGGTGAAAATATTCGACACTAATATATATTCGTCATTGAATTTTAACAATACGACAGTATATGTCATTACATCGTAGCTAAGTTCAATAAACTGTACAGATACATTTCAAAATAAATGATATCATTCAAGAGATTACTACAGCAAATCACTGTCATCATCATCAACAGAAGTGTACACGAAATTGGCGATATGCCAACTCTGCATGAAAACAGTAAGGTCATCATGACCTAGAAGGAATATTCACCATAAAGTTCATTTATTTTCACCAGCATTGTCACAGCTGCTGAAATGAATAAAAAGTAATTTTTTAAAAGCAGTCTGTCCGCTGAGATAGCTCCGCCGTTAGCAATGCACATTTCAATTAAAAAACTGAAGATATCATTAGAAAATGAACAATATGTATAGTATCAAAGCAATCGGACTTGCTGTTTTCAACAAGAATTCAAAAATATCACTTTTTACCAAAATTGACAAAAATATTCATTATAATTATAGAATTGAAGATATCATCATGAAATGAACAAATCTGAGTGAGGTCTACCTGAGGTACCTATTGGTATAGTATCAAAGCAATTAAACTTGAGGTTTTTAAAAAGAAGTCGAAAATATCACTTTTTACCACAAAAAAAAAATATTCATTAAAATTAGGGAATTTAAAGATATCATCTCGAAATAAACAAATCTGAGAGAGATCCACATGTAATACTTAAAAAAGTAGTATCAAAGCAATCAGACTTGCAGTTTTTAAAAAGAAGTTGAAAATATCACTTTTTACCAAAAAAGAAAAAATAATCATTAAAATTAGAGAATTGAAGATATCATCACAAAATGATTGACAAATGACATTGATGTAAATACATTTTTTTTGACACTTGTCTATATTGAACATCACAGCTTCCTAAAAAATATACCAGGAATACCAACAATAGTTTAATATTTCAAGTAAAAAAAACCACTACAGTACAAGTATGTAAGTGGAGGGTCTATGGTAGAAATTAGGATCGCATAATGATGATGGTATCCATCTTGTATTTACCTTGGTACCTACAAAAATACCCATCATGCAATGTGACACAAATAACAGTTATAAGCAGCTAAAGATTAAATTATTTGTTTTTTAAATTACACATTAGTTCATTTTATTTTATTTTATTTATTTAGTGTACTTGAAAGTCAGCTAACTACAAAAACTTTCATTTTAGAATATCAACTGTGACATAAGTATTGTAATGCAATATTTATAAGAACTTGCCAGCTATACGATCTATACACAGCTTGTATCTTTGAGAATGTTTCTCCCTGTAAACTATTTTAAGTTGATAGACAGTTTGTCAACAACAAATTGTTTATTTATGAAGATAATTAAAGTGACATCATCAATATAACTGGTAAAAGTTAATGTGAGAGTGGTATGTCAATTAAAGTGATAGGACTTTGTTTATATTTTTTTCTGCCACATTTATATTGACACTGATGTGCAAGTTATATGCAAATTGATCCCTCCTCATGGAATACAATGATAGAATTGAATTTCCAACTGAGCATGCTCAGTATGAACTCATGAATATTCATAATTAAAATGAATAAAAGGTGTTTACTGGCAATAACCAGTTATTGACATGTGATATGTTATTTTCAGTTCTACTGGTCCATCCACATAGATGTATGGTTTACAGTTCTCAAGGCCATCCATATTACAAGGGATAGAGACATGTGAATGACCGATTCAAGGCCATTTCCTGTGGCTTCATAGCACAGACATGTACTCAGAGATCCACTAATAAGGGAAAAATCATACCATAGTAGGGGGGAGGTGAATCATAAGGGACAGAC